GATGAAATGTTGAAATACAAACCAACATACTGTATCCTAACCCCCATCTCCACCACATTAAACAAACAAAAAGAACTTCAGCAAATATTTTTTTATTTCTAAATAAACATATTCGATGTATTGAAATTACGGGATGGCCGTTGATGGCAGGTAGCCGAAACCGTGGAAAGCAAACCACAGGTAGAGAGGACTAATGCAGTGTGTCTCCTAGTGGGCAAGAACAATTTGGGTCACAAGATGAAAAAAAAATGTTCAAAAAGGCCGGGAGAAACACAGACCTTTACACGAAAGATATGTCCTTCCTAAATTCATGTCTGTCTTTGTTTTCAGGGGTCAGAGAATTATTTAAAGTGTTAATAACATCGGCTCGCATTAAAGAGTTGTTCAGGTACTTAGCGTCCTGCATGCTGCTTATCGAGTCATTTTTACTCCGCATCCACCACAGATCACAATTACAGGGGGTGTTTCCGGAACTGTCCGCTGCCTTCTGATTTAGCTTCACTCCATCACTCGGTAGGCGCCTGTAATGGACATTTTGCTGTTCTGCTTCAAGCTGGACAGATGCGTGTGTATATGGGTATGAAAGCAAGTGTTTTACCACTGTTTTTCCCAAATCAAATCATAGTCGGGTGTCAGCAGATTTTTGAAAAGGTATGTGTCTATTCTTATTTGTAGTGTTTTTTATTTTTATTAATCTCCAATTAATGACTCAAGGCTTGCATCATAGAGTATTGAATATGGCAGCAGGCAATTGGAAATTAGAAGTTCAGTATGGTGATGGTCCCTTTTGAAAGTATATGAGAATGGGCAATCAAATAATAATGAAGGATTGGGTTAGACAATCCTTCAGTCTGACACCTGTCTCGAGAATTCTGAATGTGAACATGGAAGTTACGAATATAAGGCTGCATTTTTATTTATTTTACTGCTTGAAATTAGGAAACTGTAGTCCACTATGAGTCTAATGCCCGTTGAGATGGTCGAAGTGATGCCTACAAAATGCCATTTGATATTTATTTCCAGAACTAATCATTGCACAACATTTTTAAAAGGAGAAAGATGTTTGATCTGATGACATCACTAAAAATTAAGTCTGTTCTTAAATAGGACACTATGGCAGTATATTTGGGTAAGGGTGAATCTATACATAAGATTATTAAAATGCCTTTTGTTAAGAGTAATCTTTTTTTTTATTGCATTTGCAATGTGTGCTTCAAGGGACTTAAAGTGCTTTTTAAAATATCTTTGTACTGCTTCACAGTAACTCTTGAAAAATGAAACAGATCTCCTCTCTAAGAACGTCATTGCAAAAAGAATTTTCTCTGTGGGAATAAATGACCTAACATTGAATAAATAACCTCCCAAAATCTATTGCTACCTTTGTTTGCCTCAAAGTGTACCGTCAGATCAATGGTCCCATTGAACTTTGCACTGGTCTGAAGTCATCTGATATCTTTGATCCATGTTGGGTGTGAAATGTTACAAAGGAGTAGTCGATCATGTTTAATTTATCATCAGTTCAAGTATGCCCAGCACGTCATAAAGGATCATGATATATAATGGTTGTTCAATAAATATTTAATGCCTGACATAATACTGGGTGATGACTATATAAATGCCACACACGTTATACACATAAAGGGTTGGGAGATTTAAAGAGATTTTGACTGTTGCCTAACAAACAATCCCAAACTTAGCAGTAGGGTCAGGATTCTGGGTAGGGCTCAGCTGGTCCTTGGCTCAGGGTGTCACTAGCCTGACATGAACCTGCTGGCCAGGATGGGGTCATCATGGGAATGACCATGATTCAGATGCTCAGGTCACACCCACATTCAAGTGTAGGTGGCTATGCATGGCCTGCACACAGGGACTAGGAACCTCGTGGGCCATCTTCGAATCCTTCCAATCACAATAAATAAGTGTGCATTCACACACACACACATGCACGCACACGCAGAGGCACACACACCTGCGCACAGGCAAAGTGGAGGAAAACCCTCACTTAAAAAGTGTTACTGTATCTTCCTGTTCTCTCCTTGCAGGAATAGGGTCAGGAAAGGGGGCTGACAATTCTTTTCTGCCTGTAATTCAGCCGTTTGGAAACTGACCTGTTTCATGGATTAACAGCTAACGAGTGTTGAGTAATTCTGGTGTACCAGAGAGTCATCTAGATTCTTCAGATCCCTTAGCTCATTTACGTCCTGCAGAAACTGGGAAAGGAGGTGACACGGTTACCATTTGATCAGCTGAAAAAGAGGCCCAAAGAAATTAACCTGGCAGGCAAAACTGGTGAGTGGCAACATGGAACACCGGGCTCCACCTGTATGATACACGCAGTAACTGTGCTTACTTACGCGTTTGATTGGTACTGAGAATGGTTAGAGAAGAAGATGGTACAGAAAAGAGACCCGGGTAGGTACAGCGGTATCATCTGTATATATCACCCCAGAGGAGGGCAGAACCGAATTGGGAGCGAACTTTTGATTCCGGGTGACTCTGATCATTAGTACTTGGTCCTGAGCTGTCCTGCTTCTCAGTCACTGGCTAAGAAAACCCAGGGGGAAGATAAATCTCAGAACAAGCGTAAGCACTCAACCCGAAGCACCCACACGGGGCGGGCTCCCCATTACGCAGCATTTAGGGAAGAGGAGGGCGAGGGCAAAGCGTTCAGCCCAGGTTTTATTCCGTGGCATCGCCTGACTTGGAGCCTATGAAAAGGAAGCTAACAAAAATCATGTAAAAATAGCTCCTCTCTCTCTCTCTCTCTCTCTCTCTCTCTCTCTCTCTCTCTCTCTCTCTCCCAGCTTGACTTTGGCTCTTCCCAAGGAATGGGGCCTTCTCTGCAGTTGTCAGGGCTGCTGGTGAGGCAGCCCCAGTACCGTGTCTGCTCCCCATCTCTTAGCAGTTTGGTCCCTGATCCCAGGACTGTTTGCCCTCACAACCCCCGTGTTTCCTAGGAGGAGACCGCAGAGCCCAGTCCACTGCTGGGATCTGGACTCGATGCCGGGCTGCTGCAGCGGGCGGAGGGTGGTCGTGGAGGAGAGAAGGGTGCAGCCCGGCATTGTGGGAGGTCTGACGGTGAGAGCCAAACGCCCCAGGAGGTAACCGGGAGGAGGTCCCGTGAGCCATGAAATGCCCTTGTTTTCAGGGGTCCCGGCAGTTCAGATCAGCAGAGAAACCAAATCCTGTCTCTGAACTCATCCTTTGCAGGAGCCTTGATACAATGTCAAGAAATTCTGGAGCCAATAGGATTCCAGAAAATCAGACTCCTTCATCAAGACCTTTGGAGAATTGTTATTCTCATTTGAAGGGGCCAGGGTAGGAATCACGTGAGTGGCCCTGGGAGAGACTGTCATTCGGTGGCACCCTTAGTAAAATAAGTTGATTTTGAGATAAAGAGATCCACAGGTGTCTGCCACCCCATGGAGGACGAGAATGCTCTTTCAGCCCTGTTCCGATCCATAAACACGGGACAGAGCCGATAAAGCCATGAATGTCGGTTGCCGTGATTGGAAACATACTGAGCTACGAAGGGATAATCAGCATAAATGTCAAACTGACGCGACGACAGGACTTGATGGGTAGAACTGCACAGAGAATTGTGTTAGTGGTTCATGAGCACAGCATTGATAAACATTTCCTTAAGCCAGTGCCTCATGAAGGAGGTATTACAAAGGACTGGTAATTCTTCGAATGGGTCGTCTGAAGACGGTCTCTGGGTGTCTCTCAGAATGAGAGTATATTAGTTGACATCATCAAAAAGAGTTTGTTGTAACTGTGGCACCATTTCTTATAATTGCTTTCTTAGCCCTGGGGTTGGTTTTAAAAGCTTGAATGATGAATATTTCATTCCGTATTATTTTCATATTCCATCTGCGTACCTCATGCAAATTAACTTTCTTCTAGCCCCGTGCTGACCTTCACCTCATTGAACGGAATTAAATTGTAAAATGAACCCGCTTCGGAAATGTCTCTTTTCAGAAAACGTCTCTTCTACCTGGTTCAGGTTGAAGAGAGGCCTTTAGCATTTCAAATCATCAACCCTATTACATAATGAAATAAAAATCCAGGTAATTGGTAAAAACATTCAACTGTTAAAACATTGTGTTTGCTCAGGACAAAAAAAAAGAAAAAAAGAAACAGGACTGTTTGAAATGTTGGGATACAGCAGAAAAAAATGCCTTCCACAGTTAGCTCTTAATGTTTGCAGGATTTAAGGGTGCTTTTTAAACCCAGTACTGGTATGTTTGCCTTCCCTCCAGCTGCTTGTAATTGGTGAGACACATATTGAGAGAAGGATGCTCTATTCTGTAAATAGTCTCAATATTCTCACTGTGTGCTTCCAGTAACACATTCACATCCTAAGAAACAAACAAAAATCTTAAATACCGAGAAACAAAAAAGATGATTTTTTTTTTTTTTGCATGCAGTTGCAAAGAATAAACTAATTTCTGTTTTATCTGAGAGTGTTTTAGGATTTTAAATCCCTGGTGCTTTCTGAGGAGAACAAAACAGCAGGTTGTGTATTTTCTGTTCACAAAATCTCAGCTGCCTCCTCAAATTCCCTGTGACCTTATGGCACCTGGGGGCACTGATGTCTTGCATACTGAAAAAGAGAAACTTCGGTTTTCCAGGGTGCCATTATTTTAAATTCACATAGCATCTTGTTTTCAAAACTCTGAAATCATATTACATGGATTTTGCTTCTTTTATCTAAAGATCTTGATTCAATTTTCATATTAAAGTGTTTCTGGATGTAATGTTATGCATGGAGTCAAAAATAGATGTATTGGTTTTTATTTTGGCACCCAGAAATAGTATTGCCTGTAAGCCAGGTTTAAAGGGAACACACCTATAAAGGGAGAATATCTGGAATAATCTGAATAAACTATTACTTAGTTTAGGAAGCTGGAGTCTGAGAGAGAAAATAAACTCATCTGTAAAATCACATGAGACTCAATTGATTTTTCAGAAATGTTAATTTTAAAAGGCATAGAACAAAAGAACGATATACGAAGCAGTAAAACTGTCAAGCTTGTTGACTTCAGGGCTTGTAAAATAAAAACGATAAGCAGATTCAGTAACGGTTTAATAAAGTCTATATAATCCAGTTACATACAACATATTAATATATGTACAAAATCCTTTCTTACTCGAGGACTTTTTCACAGGGATTAATTATCAGGTTGTGCCACCTGACCCGCCTTTCTGTCAAAACCTGCATTGCTTTCTGTATAATTCATTGTTTTGGTATGATTTATTTTTAGTGCTCTTTTATTTTGTGTAGCTAATTAGAGATTAATAATAGAGATGTAAAAATATCCCTATTAATAAGAGAGAAATAATTAGATATTTTTAAAAAGGGGACAGTCATTACAAACTTCTCAGTTTATCATTGTGGTATTACATTTGATATCTCAATCTTTTAAAAAACTTTCTTGTTGCAGTCAAGTCTGGTCTGAATCATCACTTACCCTTTGAAGAGACCCGAGCAAACAATCCAGTTTATATCTCAGCCAAAAACTCAGCTTTGAAACATGGGAGACAAAATTAACCTCTGTGATCAATTTCAGTTTTTCGCTTTTTAGAATATTAATTTTCACCGGGATTAGTCATTCTTGCATTTATTTTATAGATGCATTAGACTATTGGAAGCAATAAGAAAGTATTAAATAGAAGCAATAAGGGTTTTTATAAAACAAAAGAGTAAATCAACAACTCCAATTAAGTCTTTTAAAGATTATACAACTAAATATCTAAAAATTAAGGTAGCTTCTATTTAGAAATGAATTGAAGAGATTAACTCATTTAATAAGTAATACATATCTTCAGTCTAAAAGCCAGATAGAACTATCTCAACTTAGTATTTTAATATTGAATATTTATTAAATATGCAATTCTACTGCAAAATGAATTTATTAAGTATCTCAGCCCTTCCAAAAATCTGGAAATCTGGTACTGTGTCCATACATATGCATACATATATGAATACACTTTTAATATTTTTAGAAATTATGGCTAATAGTTCAGATACTATGCCGATAAACATAGTTCATTTCTTTTCATAAAATAAATTTGTCCAACTTTCATTGCTCCAAATATTATCATTCAATTAAATTGTAGTGTCTTTAGCATTTTATATGCAAAATAAAATTTAAAAAAACAATTGATTTTAAAATGTAGTTTGAACTTCTTTCAATAGTAATGTATACGTATGGGTCTATACACCACATATATTTATAATATCAGCAAAAAAAATTTGAAGGAAAGAACCGAGTTTCATCTTGAGTTCTGATTTAAGGTTTAATTTCCGGTATTTGATATATTCACCTGATACTGTGTTTTATTAGAAGAGAGTCCTGATACTCAATAGGCACTAATAAATTTTTCTGCCATGATAATTACATAACTCTACCTTTTGGGGGTACATTTTCTGACTCAGGCATTCAATGAGGCCCCATCTAAGTTATTTCAGAGAGTTTGTATGAAAAATGAAGAAAAGAAGATTAAATGCTAGCCTTTCCTTGTTTTAGGCAGATACTGATGGTTGCTGGGATAAACACAATCAATAATATTTTCAGTATACAGGGACTAAAAAATGCTTCTTTTACCATGATATTTTAAAACACATTGTTTAGTTATTGGTTTTATTTCTCTCCAATTACTTTTTATCTGTTATTTGTAATTCTAATTTTTGACTCAAAATCCTCGGTAAAGTATAAATATTGTCTGTTTATTTTACCTGCAACATTTGCCTAAGGATTTTCCTTAATGAGGGAGAAATAGTATACTGTGGCAGAGAAATTACACTTACTCAGTAGACTGAAGAATAATTATAGTTATTATTTACCTCTTAAAAATCAAGCTGTTGATACATATCTATTTATGTGTAAGTATAACACCCTGAAAACTTCTTTTACTTAAAATTCTTGGCCAAATAGCCAGCTGGAGAGGAAACAAATAGAAAAGAAGAAAATATGCCCTAAATTGGTTAGCAAAAAATAAATTAATAGACTCAATTGCAAAGTTCTTGTTTCCTTCATGATCACATTATTTTTTTAAAAAGAGAGTGTCTTTGTAATATTTCCTGATAGGCTGAAGAATAATATAGATAAATAAAGTTTTATGGGGTGAATCTTGATCTTTCAATGCACTTACTTCATAGTCAGGTATCATATATATTACCTTTGGGTTGATATTCATACATCAGTGTCTGTTCATGTCTGTTCTCATTATGAGTGGGCTCAAGTCAAGTGGGGTGTTACAGAATATATTGGCAGATACAGGATGTACCTGCCAGAATCAGTGTTGATTGACATTCTTAAAACCCTTCTCCACGATGTGTTTTATTTTAAATGATGTACCCATTTGTGAACATACGCTGTGTCTCAGAAGCACCCTCTTGCCACCCGAATGAGCACAGTTAATGCTCTTTATAGCCAAATGGAGACATCGGACTTCACATCCTGGAATTCGTTGTAGGTGAAGGAGCGGGATCGTCTTCTGAGGTTGCTGGGCCTCGGAGATCTTCCTGCTATCAGGTCGGAATAGAGGTCAGACCTCAGAAAGCGCGTGTAGCTGTCTTGCTCCATGAGCTGATACACTCTGTTCTGCGCGGCGTCGAAGCTCTGGAGGGTGGGCTGGGCGATGCTCCTGGCGATGAGTTCCTTGGTGTGGAAATCAAGGTTCACCTGGACAATCATTTCAGAAAGGTGTCATTATGGTCAACCTTCTGCAGTAAACGCCTTTGAGAAACAGACAGTACAAGACTGTTCGATACCGGGGCGGGCACAGTGCTTGGGTGCTCTGCCTGTCATGGGTCTCGGGGTCCGATGACTGACTCTGGGCTGGCGTCCCGTGTGGCTCTGGTCTCCCTGCGCTGAGGGTCCTTTGCACCCGCTGCTAATTTAGAGTCCTGGAAGGTTGTCACAGCAGGTATCATTGAGATCGTAAGGTTCAACTCCCTTTCAATCATTAGCAAAATAATGTTCAGTGATGGCAAACAGTGAGTTTGGGACCTAGTTCAGATTTTGGTGTGGGATGTTTGCATCATCCCAGAGCTTTTGTCATTAGATTATGATGCTTTCCTACAGGCAAATGTGTGCTGAAAATGAGTATTTTTTAAAGCTATAAAATCCTTTAATTTTTTTTTTTTAATCTAAGCATGACTAATGTATCTGGGTCTGATGCTGGTGAGTTTTCAGGTAGGGATCTTTCTTTTTCCCTCCTGGGTAACATCTTACAACTAGCTGCCTTTTCTTGTCTGTGTATAAGGTTGGCCTTGGGAAAACAACAACAACAACAGAATAATACATTGACTCGCAGGAATGAAACACACTGAAGCAAGGAGAAGAGGCATTGTTTCGTGGGGACCACTATCCGCACAGACGATGCTACCTCACGGACGACACAGATTAGTAGTCAAGCGGCACTCTTAACAGTATAGACTTGCACACCTACCTCTTCAGTGAAGAAACACTGTTTATCGAACACCTAATAAAAATAAACTCTACTGAATTCATATCTGAGGACACATAATAGCTGTCATTTTAGCAATTGTATCACACAATTGTCTCACACTGAGCTCACAGCCCGAGAAAATCACAATTGTTTTCACTTGAACCATTGCCAAATTAGGTTTCCCTTATCTCTCTATTAAGATTTTTTAAAAGCCTATCTTCAGGAGGAGGAATAATCATTTCAGGGCACATAAAAGTTTGCACAGGTAGATGAGCAGGCATCACCGTGGTGCACGGTACAAACGTATGTCTCTCTTGCCTTCATTCAGTTTCTGTGAGAGCTTGCTTATGCCAAGGTGATTAATACGGATACGAGAATGTATCTAAATGTTGCAAGTAATTGCATTCCCTCTTAGTTTAGAATCCAAAGCACCCTGAGAGTGGTTTCAAGATCACTTTGCTTCCATGGGAAAGCATTACAGTGTGTTCTGTCTGTATGGGGACATCTACGAAGAGCTAGTTATTCTGCTTCAACAAACCCTGACCTGCCGGATGGGGGGGGGGGTACCAACGGGATGAAGGCAGCTCCTCTCACACATATTTCAAGCAGTTGCACATTTTCCCAGTTCTCTTTACCTCTTGGGGAGAATCATTCTGGATGAATTTCTCATATATCGCTTTCGCTTTCAGGCTCATTTGCTGAGGGTCTGTGCTTTTCTTGAAGTCCTCACAGGCCATCCAGAATTCGATGTTTTCCTCGCTGAATTCAGTTTTCAGGAATCTGGTAAAAGTCTCCAGGCCAGCTACCAAGAAAAGAAGCGACATATTTTAACTATTAAATATGAATGCTGGGAAAACGTACTGCTGGGTATGAAAGTGTAGCTGGAAATATGGATGGAACAGCTGTGTCTTCCCTCTACGGTGGCACAGCAACCCGCGTCTTGAACAGTATCCATGAGGGACCTCGTAGAAATTAGCTACAATCTTCACAACTGTGAAAAGGAAAGATCATTCCTGTCGCTACGAGGCCGGCATCATATTTACACGTGAGTAAGGGTGAAGCGGACGCTGGACCTGCCTTTGGGTCTATGTCAGTCATGCCTGTTCTGGGTTTGTGTGGGGTTATTCTATAGCCAGGACACCATCCCACCAGGACCACCCTTCCCCTTCCAGACTACACTTTATGTGCTCAGGACCCTGGCCCTCCCTGTTGAGAGCTTTATCTCCAGGATTTGTCTGCTCAGCTCATTTTCACTTACATATGTTTCCTTTTTAAAAAAATTATTATTGAGTTTTTGAGAGAGAGAGAGCCTGGCCAGTGTGGCTCACTGGCTGAGCGTTGACTCTGCACCAAGAGGTCCTGGTTCGATTCCCGGTCAGGGCACATGCCCAGGTTGTGGGCCTGATCCCCAGTGGGGGGCATGCAGGAGGCGGCCAATTGATGTTCTCTCTCATTGATGTTTCTCTCTCTCTCTCCCTTTCCCTTCCTCTCTCTCTAAAATCAATAAAGAAAAAAATTAAAAAGAAAAAAAAGGGAGAGATTTGTTGTTCCACTTACTTATGCATTCATTGGTTGATTCGTGTGTGAGCCATGACCAGAGGTCGAACCCACAGCCTTGGCATATCAAAGTATCAGGATGATGCTTTAACCAACTGAGAAACCCTGCCAGGCTTACATTCATTTCTTAAATTTTTTTTTTTCTTTATAGATTTTAGAGAGAGAGGAAGGGAGAGGGAGATAGAAATACTGATGAGAGGGAACATCGATTGGCCGCCTCCTGCATGCCCCCCACTGGGGGTCGGGCCCACAACCTGGGTATGTGCCCTGACCGGGAATTGAACCGGCAACTTCCTGGTGCAGGGTCGACGCTCAACCCTTGAGCCACACCAGCTGCCTATATTCACTTCTTATGTTCACTGCCCTCTGGAAGCATTTCTTATAGTCCACGATTATTTGTAACATAAACAGCTGTAGAAGAAGCAAGAATAAAACTCTTTTGTTAGAATCACAGCAATGACGAAAGGGTTTTGCGTTTATCACGTGTCGGGAGGTTTTGAGGGCTAAGTGCTCTTTGTAATCCTTACTGCATTTAATGTTTACAGCAATACCTGGACGTGCCCTGTACTCGTTCTCATAGACGAGGAGACTGTTGCAGATAAATTCAGTTGCTCCTGGTCTCACTTTTCAAACAAACAAACCGTTGGACCGGCACCTTGCTCTGGAAGGCAGTCCTTCCTGGGCGGGCACAGTGACCGCCCTCCAAACATGCCCACGCCCCTCTCCCCAAGCCCGGGACGACATCACGTGATGCTGGGCAAGCAGCTAGGAGGGGAGAGCGCGTGGGTGCTCCAGGGGGGCCCCACCGTATCCCACGAGGCTTTAAAAGTGAAAAACACAGTCAGACGAGTGGGTCACAGAAGATGAAATGTGAGGAGGGTTATCGCTGACCCTGAAGATCAAAGATGTTCATGAGCCAAAGAGTGTGGTGCTTCCGGAAGGTGAAAACAGCCCTTAGAAACAGCAAGAGAAGGGAGATTTCCGTCTGCAACTTCAAACAACTGAATTCTGCCCCCAGCCCCAATAACTCTGAGAGGGATTCTCTTCCGGGCCCTCCAGAAAGGACAGCGGCCTGCTGACACCCTGCTTCCCCCAGGGAGGCCCCATTACACTTCCGACCCACAGACGGTAGATGGTGACTTTGTGTTAAGTCAGTGGTTACAAACTGCACTAGCAGCCACAGCAGACGAATCCTCAAATTATGCTTTACAGTCACTATGTATTTCTCCTGCGTGTAGAACTTGTCTTCTTTGTCATGCAGCCTTTTCTTTTTTAAATGTTGTGAGCAATCTTTTGAGTATGCTTGAGATGCAGGAACGTAATGTTGAAGAACTCAAGAGTCAGGGAAGATGGGCTGATCCATCCCTAGGCAGTCCCCACGTCGCAGGCTTGGAACGGCTCCAGTCATCACCCTCATGAGGACAGTCCCCTGGGCCTCTGCTGCCCACTGCTCTTTCCACGGGTGTTTTCGCTCAGGTGAGGGCAGATGCTGCCATTTCTCCTCCTCAGTTAATTGATCGAAAGCACCAGGTGACAGGGATTAAATGCCCTTAAGTAGGAACCGGAGAAAGTAGGAAGACAAGCAAACGCCAGGCCCAACCAGAGAAGACGTCTTGTGTCTGGAATGAAACTCAGAGCCTGTCTCTCGGGACCCAGGTCCGTCAGGTAGTTCCCGGTCAAACAGCCCGTCTGGGAGGAGCGGCCGGGATGCTGCAGGTGAGTGAGGCGTATCCCCGCCTTTCCTGGTTTCTCTGCTCGGCGTTTGAATCTCCAGACTCATTTCTCAAGCTGAGTCCCGTGCTGTTTATCCGAAGGCCGTGGGGACATGCAAGAGGACAGTGACTCTGCAGACCTTTGACAGATCTCCCCCCAAAATACCTAGGAATGTATATCCTTTAGAATAAATTGAATGGGCTATTTCTGTTTTTGATATTTTTAAACCCACATCGCTGCCTCGATGAGCAATAGGAGAGTCAAGCTTGTGGTTTTCACGAGAGTTTCTTCTCACAGTGGCCGTGAGGGTTATTGGTTTTTAGGGGGTTCCTCTTTGGCTTCATCTCCCACAATGTCTTTCACCCTCTGCATCTCAGTAGCTGAACTTGTACGCAAAAAAGAAGCTGCATGAGTCACTGTTGCCATCGGAGACTACGTTCCTTTAATTGTTGGAAACCAGGTGGCAGCCGCCCCTGCAGACCTGGGCCGCGGGCTGGTGACCTGAGGAAATGGGTGGAGTGACCGTCACTGGGCCACTGGGTGGTAACAGCTTGGCAACATCTTCCTTTTCTATTGATGTGACAGGGAGGGTGGTTTGGTTGCACAATCTCTGGCTTTGCTGCTGTCTTCCCCCCCTTCCTCCTTCTCTAATGATTCTGGAAGGAAGCCAGAGACCAGGCTGAAACAAGCCTGTCGAACCCTAACTTGAAGCAGAAGGAGAACTCGAGGGGCTGGCCGCGTTAGGTCTGGGGAAGCGCAATCGCAACAGAAACATGGTCCGTAGCCCGACTGGTGTGGCCCCAGCCGGAGGCGGCCCAGCCGTCTCGCCCCAGCATCTGGACCGTGGCTTTTCCGGAACTTAAAAAAAAAAAAATTTTTTTTTTTTGGCGAACTTTCTGTTGGTGAATTTTTTTTTTTTTAAATCCTCACCCAAGGACATTTTTGCATTTATCTTCAGATACAGTGGGAGGGAGAGGAGGAGGAAGAGAGAGAGAAATATTGATGTGAGAGAGACACATCTGTGAGAGATACATCGAGTGGCTGCCACCTGCGTGACCCCAAACAGGGCCGAGGACAAACTGCAACCGAGGTTCGTGCCCTTACGGGAACCAAACCCGGGACTATCTGATCCGCGGACTGACACTCTAACCACTGAGCCAAACCGGACAAGGCTCTTTTGGTGAATTTTTAGTGTCACAAAAATCCACTGCTTAATACCCCTCCTTCTTACTCCTTCAAATTTCTGAAAGTGTGAATTAACATCCACTTAATACTGGCTTGAATTCTTTAAAATAAATATATACTCTCAATTTAACCCTAATGACTGTCTTCAAAACAGATTGCGTCTTTGTATTTTTTATTTTCATTTTCCATGGAAATGTGAAATTTCTTATTGGCTTGGTAGCTGCTATAAAGTAGATTTCTGGGGAGCGCTCCTTGGCTACATCGTACAAAACAAGGCAACAAAAGAGAAAATTTGGGGGAAACCCCGATTAAAGAAACAAAGGAGTCTTGGGGAAGTGTGTCCTCTGCTGATACAGTATAATGTCGGGCGTCATTGTCTGTCCTGTGTTTGACGGAGGGTCTTGCCTGGTCCCCATCCACAATCAGAGGCACTTTAGCTTCTTCCTATGTATTCCTTTGTTGCTATTTAAGGGCAAATTGAAACAAAGTTGGCAAAGTGGAATGCCTGTTCTGCTATAAGGGGTACCCACCCTGTCCCAGGTCAGAATTGATGTGGAAAGCAGAATCTAAGACTATGCTTTCTTGGGCTTAGGAACAAAGTTACTTTGACCCCCAGTAAAGGAAAAAAAACCTCTTTATTTTCAATTTATTCTACTCATGTCATGTATAAGCACAGATTGATCAGGTTTTAAAGCCCAAATTATTCCTAAAGTAAGTCAGTGAATAACTGTCCCAGTTTTAGGGGGATACGACCATTACTTTTCCTATTCATAAATCTCAATTTTAACAAAATGCAGACACCTACAAGGGATCGTCTATCTGCCAGGCAATTGGCCCTTATTCAACCTAACTTCCTTCATCTGTCTTTTAAAAAATGTATGAAATACCTGGTTCGAACCTGGGGGCCGTAAGATATACTGAAAGTACCGTATTCATTAAATCGCTGGACACTGGGGGTCGGCGAGGTGCCGGCGATGGCCGCAGGCAACATCGAGTGGTTGCCACCCGCACGACCCAATCGGTGCGGTTCCGAGTAATTTCCACGTCTGTCCTGTGCAGTGAAGTTAGTGCAGATAGTGAAGTTGCCTTAAATCTCACAGCTGGTAAAAGATGGCCCTGGGGTATGAACCCAGGTGTGTGTCGTGTACAATAATAGACCCTTTGCCACTCAGCGACCGGGAAACAACCAAGTCGTTTGGAGGAGCGGGAGGAAGATCAAGTCGCACGGAATTCAGAGGGAGGTCTTCCAGAAAAGAATATGAATGTCCCTCAAAATATAGTCCCTCACTCGGTCTCCAGGCGCCAGTGTGGACGAGAGCTGGCCGTCGTGCCTGGAATGTGCCACCG